ATAATTGAACTAGTATGCCACAATTGTGCGATGGATGCCACCCGCCCATGCGACGACCCTCACTTCTTTGCGAGTGCGTCCGTAATGCAGGATGTTGACGACGCCTTCTTGATCGCAGCGGCGGCGTAGGAGGGGGAGGAGGCGGTCACGACGAGGAATTCTCCCTCTGCCGACACGAACTCTCCGAATTCTTCCGACTGCATCGATTTCCTGTCGTCTGCCTCGCCTCCCTCCAGTATGAGGTCGGTTAGAGGTCCGACCGACCGCTGTGTGCAGGTAATGAGAACACCGAGGGTTATAGCTACAATGATGTTTGTCGTATGACACAGCAGCCAATAGCTTAGGTAAATTCTTGCACACACAAACTCTCTCTCTCTCTCTCTGTCTGACTGTTTGTCTCTCTCTCTGTCTGACTGTTTGTCCCTCTCTCTGTCTGACTGTTTGTCTCTCTCTCTATCTCTCTTTCTCCCAACTCTCTTTCTCTCTTTCTCTCTGTCTCTGCTGCTGTGGCTGTGGCTCTCTCTCTTTCTCTCTCCACCTCCCTCTATCTCTCCCCCTCTCTCTCTCTGCTTCCCCTCTCCCCCCTCTCTCTCCCCCTCCCTCTATCTTTCTCTCTATCTCATGTCTCCCCCTCTCTCTATCTCACTGTCTCCCCCTCTCTATCTCACTGTCTCCCCCTCTCTCTCCCCTCTCTCTCTATCCTCCTCTCTCTCTCGCTCTCTTTCTCCCCCTCTCCCCCTCCGCGTTCACTCACCGTGCTCGAGTCGAGTGAGATGACGGACAGGTTGGGCGTGTGCGTGAACGTCAGCATACCCTGCGCTGCCAGCTGCTTCTGCGCCTGTCTCATGCCCAGCGAGGGACTGCGCTGTCGCTCAGGGGCTGCAACGAGAGATCGCGCAGCAGCTCATGAGTATGAGCAGGGACGTCTTTCTCGAGACAAAAGCAAGCAAAGGAGACAAAAGGAAGCAAAGGAGACAAAAGGAAGCACAGGAGACAAAAGGAAGCAAAGAAGCAAAGCAAAGCTCATCGTGAGTGTAAGCAGGGACGTCTTTCGCAAGACACAAGCAAAGGAGCAAAGCAAAGCTCGGAGTGAGAACAGAAGAACAGTGGAACTACAACCCATAGTGTCCACACATGTGCCGTTGCTCAATTTCATATCTAGAAACTATCATAATACTGATATAATAAATCAAATAATAAAATATAAATTTAGTTTTCATAATGAAGTTATTTATTACTTATTTATTTTATTTCATTTCGTCATATGCGACGTTCTAAGCCGTCGTCTTGCCAGAATAAATCGCTACAACACGTACTCTGTGAGTCGCGATGCATCTGATGCATCTGCTGCTGCTGCTGCTCTTGCTGCTCCTGCTGCAGCTGATTGGCTCTCTGCCTCCTCTCCTCCTCCTCCCTCTCAGCATCCCTCTTCTGAAGCTCTGTGCGGGAGAAACGCCGAGAGTCACGTCACTACACATGGTTACCACGGTTACCGTAGCAAGCGCCCCCTGGTGCTACCGCACGAGCCGTGAGCTACTGACCTGCCACCTGGCGTTGCTACTGACCTGCCGCCTGGCGTTGCTACTGACCTGCCACCTGGCGTTGCTGCTCAGGCTACTGACCTGCCACCTGGCGTTACTGCTCAGGCTACTGACCTGCCACCTGGCATTGCTGCTCAGGCTACTGACCTGCCACCTGGCGTTGCTGCTCGGATCTGCCACCTGGCATTGCTACTGACCTGCCACCTGGCGTTACTGCTCGAGCTACTGATCTGCCACCTGGCATTGCTACTGACCTGCCACCTGGCGTTGCTGCTCGAGCTACTGATCTGCCACCTGGCGTTACTGCTCGGGCTACTGATCTGCCACCTGACATTGATACTGACCTGCCACCTGGCGTTGCTGCTCAGGCTACTGACCTGCCACCTGGCGTTACTGCTCGAGCTATTGATCTGCCACCTGGCATTGCTACTGACCTGCCACCTGGCGTTGCTGCTCGGGCTACTGACCTGCCACCTGGCGTTGCTGCTCAGGCGCGAGCACGCTCTCCAGACGGCGGAGGTCGGCCATTTGCAGCCGCTGAGCCGCGAGAAACTGGTCGTTGGCGGCCTGCCAAGTCCTCTTCAGTCCCTCGTGTTGCTTCCTTTCTCCATCCAGCAGCTGACAGACTGTGAAGAAGCAACGGTTAGTCAGAGTAATAGCGAAGAGAGAGAGAGGAAGAGAAGGGGAGAGAAAAAGAGAGAGAGAGAGAAAGAGAGAGAGAGAGAGAGAGAGAGAGAAGAGAGAGAGAGAGAGAGAAGA